CTCCCATGGGAGGCAGTGATGGCCACCAACTTGGATGCCTTTAAAAGAGGAGGCAGAAGAGGTCTCTCAATGGCTATTAGCCCTGGTGAATATACTCTGCCTCCACAGCAGTAATGCTTCTGAAGACCAGTTGCTGGATACTGCATGAGAGGAATACGCTATTGTGTTTGTATTCCCTCAGGCATCTAGTCAGCTTCTGTGAGAAAAGGATGTCGGACCAGATGTGCCATTGGCCTTATGCAGGCATAGGCAAACTCAGCCCTCCAGATGTTTTGGGACTACAGTTCCCATCATCCCTGACCACTGGTCCTGTTAGCTAGGGATGATGGGAGTTGTAGTCCAAAACATCTGGAGGGCCGAGTTTGCCTATGCCTGGCCTTATGTTACAGCAGGATGTCCTTAGGTTCTTAGAGTTTGTTCACAAGGCAGCCCACGGATAACATGGAGTGCAGGGACCTTTCCCGGGTACTGCAGCACCATCACGGTTGCTCCTGGAAATTTCAAGCTCTCCTGCCTGTCTTTATATTTTAATGATGCCAAACATGCCTCAGCTGTCAATCCAGTTAGGCGGCAATTACCTTAATTGAGGCTTTTGACAACCAAATCGTGGGCAATTCTGCGGGTCAGCTTGGCGTCAGGTAGATGATTTCTTCTTTTCCCTGTATCTTCTTGTGCAGAATCTCTAGTGGCTGCATCTTCAGGGTTGGCCTGAACATAATTTCAAAGAACTACGCTGAGTGGCTTCCATTTTGGAAGCCCCGGCTGCAGTGAAACTTCCCAAGGGGCCTTTGGAAGCAAGCAAGGGGCAAGCAAGGGAGTCCAAGAGTCCATCCTGCCTTTCAGGGATAAACAAGGCATGACATTAACACATATGAACATAATAAGAGCTTGCTGGATCAGGCCAAAAAGGGCCCATCTAGTCCAGCATCCTGTTCTCACATGAATTCTGGTGTTATGAGAGAGGGAGAAAAACTTTTCTTTATCCTTGGTGTTTCCAGTATGCGAATGAAAGATAGAGAGTGAATAATAATAATAATAATAATAATAATAATAATACTTTTCTTATTTCTACCCCACCCATCTGGCTGGGTTTCCCCAGCCACTCTGGGCAGCTTACAGCACTCTGGGTGGCTTACAGGATGCCTTGGCCCTTTCCCACTGAGTCTTTTCTCTCTTCCCTTTCCAGTACGAGATGCCAGAAATCTGGTTCCAATGGATCCAAACGGCTTGTCAGACCCGTATGTGAAACTCAAGCTCATCCCTGACCCAAAAAGTGAAAGCAAACAGAAGACTAAAACCATCAAATGTTCTCTGAACCCTGAGTGGAATGAGACCTTTAAATTGTGAGTATGGCTCTGTGGCAGCCTTTGACATCTTCTGACGGGTTCCTGGGACTCGGTTTCAACTTGAAACAGAAAGTGAGGGGTGGAGTGGGGCTGGCTAGCTGGCTAGCTGGCTGGCTGGCTGGTGACCCTCTCCTTCGCTGCTGCTCCAGATTTTTGACTCAAAGGGTCAGGGAGTGGCCACACCATAAAGGAGGAGCCCCAACCATGTGAGAGATGCCCATACTGTGGTGTTGCCTCACCTGGATGCAGGTGCCACAGTGGTGTGGGGGGGAGCCACCTTGTGGGCTCCTACTGCATGGCAGCAGAGCTTCTGATTGTTACCTTTGGCATATAGGAAGGTGTCACATGACAGCTATTCCCTAAGCATGGAATGGGGACCTCTCATGAGTCATGGGTGCTTTTTCAGACCCTGCACCCCAGCTGAGACCCTACTGTGCCTGGGACTAAGCCTTGAAACCATTGCGAAGAGTCTGTGCGCACCAGTTTGCACAAAACAGGCATGTGCTGATTCTTATGTATAGATGCAGATTTAGAAATTAAATGTCTCAAAAGGCAAAGTGACAAATTTCCCACCCAGGCCACCTCAGATAAATGCTTTGATTTGCTTGTGCTTAACTCCACATCAGTCCTTCTCTAATTCATTTACCCCAGATTATTTTCCCAACAGACATCTGAAGGCATGTTCAGGGAAGTTTTTAATGTGTGACATTTTAATGTATTTTTAATCTTTGTTGGAAGCCACCCAGAGTGGCTGGGGAGACCCAGCCAGATGGGCGGGGTATAAATAAGTAAGTAAGTAAGTAAGTAAGTAAATATTATTATTATTATTATTATTATTATTATTATTATTATTATCCTGCTCCAAAGCAATTCAATTTGTCTTCAGTTACCCTGTTCACTACCCCAGTAAACTACAGCACACCCCTCCAATTCAATTCCCCACCCGCCCACAGCAACACCCCTGCTGAGCCCAGTTTCCTCCCACCTGTCCCTCCTTGCAGGGCTGGTGCTTCCCTGGAATGAATGGGTTGCAAATGATGCTGTGCTTTAATTGCTGAGAAACGCTAAGCGGATTTCAGAGCGAAGCGGCAGGCTCCTTTCTTCAGCTCCTCTCTTCCCTCGCACCCATCCTGTCAGCACTGCTGAGAATGCCATCTCACGCTCCGGGTTGGCGCTGATCAAAGCCTTGCATTTCAATCGCCAGGCGCTCTGAGGTCCTCCATTTGAAGGGGACCCTGTCAGGAAATGAGGCATTAGAGGAGGCACGTCCGCCGAAAACCGTGGCTTCATTTCATAGCTGCTGATTGATTGAGTGCCCACCTGGAAGGCGTGGAAGCAGCTTGCAGATATAGCTCCCTCCAAAAAGAAGATGCCTTTTAAAATCTCTTTCCTCCTCCCTTTTGTTTCTGCCAGCCAACTGAAAGAGTCTGACAAGGACAGGAGGCTATCTGTGGAGATCTGGGACTGGGACCTGACCAGTCGGAATGATTTCATGGGGTCGCTGTCCTTTGGGATCTCAGAGCTGCTGAAAGCTGGAGTGGATGGCTGGTAAGGTGGACTTGCCTCTGAAGGGGCTTGGATCAGGGCAATCACTAGCCAGCTGGTGCCCTCCAGATATTTGCTATCTGTTTATTTCATTACATTTCTGTCCCACCTTTCCTCCAAAGAGCTCAGGTGGCATACATGGTTCTCCCCATTTTATCCTCACACAACCCTGCAAGGTGGGTTAGGCTGAGAAGCAGTGACTGGCACCCCAGGTCACACCCAGAGAGCTTTGTGGCCATGTGGGTATTTGAACCCTGGTGTCAGGAGCTGGAGTCAGGCGTACATCATCAAGGAAACCATAAAGCACCCGATGTCAGTGAAGTTAACTCTTGATTCAAAGAAACCCAAACAGCTCAGTCCTAGTGGTCACAGCAACTCTTCCCAGTAGGTCTTGCCCCAGTGAAGCAGTTGTGAGGACTGAAGGTCCCCGCCTTCCCACCGCTCTGTAAGTTTTTCCCCCAGTTCCTTCCCTAGCAACCTAAATCTCTGTCATCTTGTCTCTCTTTGCTCTTCCTTCTTCATTCCTCTGCAGGTTCTAGGAGACCAGGGGGAAGGGGAGCTGGTCACAGCAGGAGGGGGAGACTCCCTGGCTTCATCAGCAGCTTGCCTCATCACTGTCTCCTGGGCCCACTCCCCTCCAGCCTCCTCTCCTGCTTCTGAGTCTGAACTGCCCTTTGTCACAGCCTCTTCCTGCTCCCTAAACCCTGTTGCCTCTTCAGCTTCTAACGCCTCCTCCCCCCAGTCTGTTCCTTCTTCTCCCTCTGACCATTTGTCGTCCTCCCACCAACATCCCCCTGGCTCTGAGCCTTCTTCCCCTGAGGGTTCCTTTGGGGGTTCTCCAGATGGTGCCTCCCACCACTCTTCTACATCCAGTCAGTTCATGACACCTGGTCTCCCAGGTCTTGCTTGGTCCAACACTCCAAGCACTACACCAGACTGGCTGTCCTTGCTGGGGCTCATGGGAGAGGTGGTTGAAAACATCTGGAGGCCATGGTGGCAGGAGGTCTTGCTGAAACAAAACAATGGGAGTGTATTGCCAGGTAGGGATCTGATCCTTAGGAGCCCAGTTTGCATCGGCACCAGGCAGAGTTGGTTGCAGAGAACCCAGCAAAGAGCCTTCCTGCCCCTCCCCAGGATGAAAGTTTAATCTGTGGATGTGAAGAATGGGATTGCTTGCTGAGGCTTCCCTGTTTCCTCAAATGAAACACTGTCCAAAGCAGTTAATTACTGTCAGCCGAGGCGGGCAGCGTGGGCCTATCAACTCCCAGAGGAGTAGGGCCTGTTTGTTTCTGTTTTATCTCCCTCAGCAGGAAACAGGATTTTAATTTTCTTCCTTCCCGCTCCTGGTGCTGAAGAGTTGGGTGACCTTAGCGAGCAGACCAGAATGCCTATAAAACTTCTGTGCGTGCGGCAGGTAGCAGATCTAGCTGGTCCTTCTGTGAGCTGGAGGGGGGACTCTTTCCTTGTCAAACTCAACACCTGGATTTGAGGATTCATCCTGGAAGGTGCTGTTTTGAAACCAAGGGGAACAGAAGAACCAAAGAAGAGTCTGTTGGATAAGGCCAATGGCACATCTCACAGTGGCCGAACAGATGCCGGTAGGAAGCCCGCCATCAAGATTCAGGCACAAGAGCCCTCTCCCCTCCTGTGGTTTCCAGCAACTAGTATTATGAAGCTTCACTGACCCCAACTGTGAGGGCAGAGCATAGCCAAGGGAGAAAGTTAATGCCATCCTGACCAAGTCAGCGCTTGTGAAATATATTTGTGGAAGTCAAAAGGGTGATTTCTAGGTCCATTGACATCCTGGGCTAATGGCAACAGGTCCTGAAATCCCATGGATTGCTCTGTTCCAGGATGCCAAATGGGGAAGGGCTGTAGTAGCTCAGTGGTAGAGCACGTTTTGTGCATACAGAAGGTCCCAGGTTCAATCCCCCTGATGCCATCCCCAGGTGGGACTGGGAGAGGCATTCTGTCTGCAACCCTGAAGAGCTGCTGCCGGTCAGTGTAGACAATACTGAACTGGGCGGACCAATGGTCTGGTTCGATATCAGGCACCTTCCTATGTTCCCATTTAAATCAGAACCATGAGGACTTTATTTTTAGGAAAGGGACATGGCTCACCAGTAGAGCACCTGCTTTGCATGCAGAAGGTCCCAGGTTAAATTTGCCCTAGTGGCATCTCCAGCTAAGCCTTGGGAAGACACCCCAGCTGAAGCCCAGCTGCCAGATAGTGTGAACGATACAGAGATAGGTTGTCTTCACTATCTGTGTTACCATCTTAGTCTCCTGATGGATTCACACGCACAGTTGTAAATCCACTAGTAGTTGTGCTTACTGGACCAAGACATTGTGCCACCTGAGGTGCAGATGGGGTACACACACCTCAGTTTCCCCAATCACACACGCCCCTTTCTGCCCACTTGAGCCTTCCTTTGATTCTGATGATGGAGCAGCCTTCTCCACAGCACCTGAGGGCAGTGGGCTTGCTTAGGGGTGTGGAGGTCTGGGTTTTCTAAGTTTTCAAAGGAACTACCCATGGAAACCCGACCAAAGCATAGGCAAACAGCAGGATGTTTGTCCATCTGCACGGCAGACAGACAGAGAACTGTTCCATTGACCAAATGGTTTTCCCAAAATGCTAGAAGGACATTAGCAGTAAGTCAATCATGGACCAGTTTGGAATGCACTCCCAGGGAGACAGTGATGGCCATCTACTGAGATGACTTTAAAAGAGGATCAGACCAAATCATGGAGGAGGGGGAGGCTATCAATGGCTGCTAACCACAATAGCTGTGTTCTGCCCCCATGATCAGAGGCAGTCATGCCTGTTGCTGGAAGGCACAGGAGGAGAGAATACTCTTGTGGTTGAGTTCTGCTTACAATGACTTCCCATTGGGGCATCTGGTTGGCCACTTTGAGAACAGGATGCTGGACTAGATGGGCCATTAGCCTGATCCAGCAGATCCTTCTTATCTTCATATGTTTTCTGCTGCGGGCTGTCAAGGCAAAGCAGGGATGGGGCAGTTGGATCTGGCATGAGTGGAGCAGGGTTGCAAATGAGTCTGGGCGCCGCTTCTGGTTGGCACCAACCGCCACCACTGCCAACTAGACATTGCTCAAGCCCCAGGAGCAGATCCATGTCACATCTGAGTCTGCTTCAGTGCTGAGGACCCGTCCCTGCAGTCTGAGGAGCTGAGCTTAAGATCTTCAGGGTTAGTAGCGATGAGCCGGAGGGGCGTTGGTTCAAGGCAAGCGCGACGGGCCACTCCTCCTCTGAATTTGCCGCAAGCTCTCCGAAGGAAAACAAATTGCAAATTTCCTCCAAGCCCTCGCTGCCACCTGTGGAGCCGTCTCCAGCGGGGAGATGGGCGCACATTAAAGAGCATGTAAAATATGGTAAACAGCTCCTTGCTGCATTTTTAAAAACCGTTAAGTGGAGATCTAAGTAATTTTCCTTGTCACAGTGTTTGGCTAAAGTAAACTCCGGGAGGTGGGAGTCTCCAGTGCATTTTTCATCTCTAAAGAGCCGCAGCAAATGGAGGCGCGGAGTTGAAGGGAAGGGTCCGTCCTTGCATTATGCAAATCCTGCTTTGTTCCTTCCCTGCCAGTCAGGCGCACCGCCGCGCTCAGCCGATAATGGCCCCCTGATAAACTCTTCCTCTCCACTGAAAAGATCTCATTGACAGAACTGGAGCTTCGCCTCCAGCGGCAGAAACTGACTCACAGCTGAATGACAGTTCCATGATTCCCCGTAATTGCTTATTAGATTTTATTTGTTTGTTTGTTTGCTCCCCTCCCTTCTTCTGGGGGGGGGGGTGTCTTTGCTTTGTAGAAGGATCTTCCTGAAAGGGTGATGGAGCTACTTTTCTGGGATTGGAGATTTGGAGATTAGAAAATTACGGAGCCAGTATGGTGTAGCGGTTAGAGTGTTGGACTAGGACCTGGGAGACGAGGGTTCAAAATCCCCACTCAGCCATAAAGCTCTCTGGGTGTCAGGGACTGGCTGGGTGAGGGAAAGTGGTGGGAGCCAGCTGCCCAAGAGCCTTGCAGGAAGGACACAGAAGAAGACGACTTAGATCCAGGATCCTGGTGGTGGGACACTGAAGAGCAGTCTGGGGAAGGGACGAGCTGGGAGGTAGAAGCAGGGTTTTGAGCGATCAAGGGAAGTCAGGAGAAGGAGGGTGTTCCAAGACAGGGTTAGAGGCTGAGAGTCACAGTGTGAGTGCAGACTCAGACAGAGAGGAGTCAGAGGCTGGCCCTGCTACACAGCAGCAGGACAGTCCCAGTCCTGCTGGCTCTTCCCCCCCTCTGACACCCCACTTGAGGAAAGTCCTGTACGTTGTCGAGCAATGAGCCCTGCAAGCCCAGAGAATAAGCCCCTCCCCTCCCCTGCTTTCCTGCCTTGTGGATGACCTGGTATCGCTTGATAGCTCCTTGACACTGGGTGACCTTGGGCCAGTCACTGCCTCTCAGCCTAACCTACCTCACAGGGTTGTTGTGGGGATTACATGTGGAGAGATAGAACCGTCTATGCCCCCTTGAGTGTACATGGATGCTTAGATCATTTTTTAAAATGTGGAATATAAATAACAAAAGTAAAGCAATTACCTGTGCAGTGGAGGACTCCATAAATAGTTTCATGGAGGCAGGGTGCTTCCCCCTCCCATTACCTTGGAATTGAGTCTGCCTCCAACTAGACTAGAGGCTCTAGACCAGAGCTTGTTTTCCTAGAGCTCATTTGGGCCCTTCAGCCGCTTCCATTGTTTTCCCACTTCACCTTGCTTGGGTTGCAGCTTCTGACTCTGGTTCTGCTTTGCTTACCCAATTTCCCCCTGCCTAGGTTTAAGCTGCTGAGCCAGGAGGAGGGGGAGTACTTCAACGTCCCCGTGCCCCCTGAAGGTGAAGAGGGGAATGAAGAGCTCAGGCAGAAGTTTGAGGTGAGCAGCCCTTCCGAAGGACCAACCCCCCGACATCCTTCCCCTGAATGAGGCATTCCAGGGGGGAGAGAAGGAGGTGTGGGGATGTTCAGGGTGGCAGGAGAGGTTATATTGTTTATTAATATCCTTCCTAAATTGCCCTTTACTTAGCAGAGTTTACATTCCCCTTCTCACGCACAGGAGAAAGCTGGTTGCAGGCTCGTTAGAACCTCTTACTGTTATGCCATTCAATCTGCCTCAGATTGAATTGTATGATCCTGGTAATATCCCCTTTTAAATCCCTCCTAAAAGAATAAAGACACCACAGTCTTATTCATAAGCAATAAGAAGAAGGTTTACTCATGATCAGGCAGAGCACAGTGTGATCCTGAAGGCAGGCTTTAGGCTTAAAGTTACAGTGGTACCTTGGGTTACAGACGCTTCAGGTTACAGAAGCTTCGGGTTACAAACTGCGCTAACCCAGAAATAGTACCTCGGGTTAAGAACTTTGCTTCAGGATGAGAACAGAAATTGTGCTCCAGCGGCGCGGTGGCAGCAGGAGACCCCATTAGCTAAAGTGGTGCTTCAAGTTAAGAATAGTTTCAGGTTAAGAACGGACCTCCAGAACGAATTAAGTTCTTAACTCGAGGTACCACTGTTCAAGCATATACAAATGGGTTTACCCCGTATGGGAGATGACCTGGGGAGACTGCAAGCTAGCAGTCCAAGAAGTTTGCAGGACGAAAGGAAGATGGAAAAGAGAGAGAGTGGCAGCATGCCTTGGCCTTTTACCAGGTCTGGAAAGGTCACGCCCACCCACTAGTCACATGCAAGGAAGGATGCTCCAGGCCAGGAGGAACAGGAAGTTTCGACTGGCTGGACAAACATGTCAACTCTAGCAAAACAAGGAATGTTGTATTTGACTGCTCTCAGTGGATTACATCCCACAGGAGATTCACAAGTTGCAAGGTTTTCAGAGGAGCATAGCCAAAGGTCTGAAAACCAAGCCTGATGAGGAACAGTTGAGGGAGTTGGGTCTGTTAGCCTGGAGAAGAGAAGACTGAGAGGCAACAGGATAGCCATTTTCAAATATCTGAAGGGATGTTACGTTGAAGACGGAGCGAGCTTGTTTTCTGCTGCTCCAGAGGGGAGGATCTGAACCAACGGATTCAAATGACAAGAAAGAAGATTCCCACTAAACCTTAGGAAGAACCTTCTGATGGTAAGAGCTGTTTGCCAGGGGAACGGACTCCCTCGGAAGGTGGTGGACAAGAGATGTGACTCAGGGCCACACTCCTGTAAAGTAAGGAACTGTGGACTTGCAGCACAAGACCTTGGCTCTTAGCACCATGCTTAGAGGAACAGGAAGCTTATGTGTGATGCTTGGGATAGATCTGTTCCTTCATCCAGTATCCAAGAATTTATTTATTTCAAAAAAATTATACTCTGCCTGATTGGGAAGAAAAACGTGGTTTACAAGAAAAATGAAAAGATACAACAATAAGATTATCAATAAGAAGAATTAATAACAATTTAAGACTTTCAAAAAGTTAAAATAACAATACAGTCGTACCTTGGTTGTCGAACACCTTAGTTGTCGAACAAATCGGCTCCTGAGTGATCGAAACCCAGAAGTGTGTGTTCCAGTTTTCAAATGGTTTTTGGAAGCCAAACGTCCGATGCTGCTTCCATGGCTTCCAGTTGGCTGCAGGAGCTTTAGTTTCCAAACATTATGGAAGACTAACTGACTTCCGGAACGGATTCTGTTCGACTTCGAAGGTACAACTGTAGACCAAAACAGATTAAAACATGAATCAACTTTCTAAAAAACTGGGTAGGCTTGTCTAAGCAAAGATGATTTTAGCAAGCACCAAAAAGAGTACAACAAAGGTGCCTGCCTGCTATCAATCAGCAGGGAGTTCCAAAGTTCAGGTGCTTCCACATTCAAAGATGGAGTTCTTACAAATGTGGAATGGGTATTATGTGGCACCTGTGGACAGTGCCAGGTCTGCAGATTGAAGTGGTCAAGGGAGCACAGGTGCGGTAATCTGATCTCACAGGTAAACTAGTCCCAGGTTGTTAGCTCCAGGTGAAAACACCCCAGGGCAAGGGGATTCTGGAATGAATTGGACCCTGCTACTGGCTCTTTGCAGGAAAGGAGCATTGCATCTGCCAATTTTACTCTGCGTTCCAGCTCTCCAACGGTGTTTTTGGTAGCAGAGGGAGCCTTGCCCCCCCCCACCAGGTGACACCAGGAAGCCTCTTTTGTGGCTGCCGTGCAAACCTTCTCTCTTGCGCTCGGAGCAGCTGCCCCAATTAAACCGCTGGAATCGGCTTAATGGAATTTCATGCTAGGCTGAGCTCTGGGCAGGCTCCTCCAATGTGACATATTTTTTCAGACATTAAAACGAATAAATTGTGAGATAGCTCTGTCTCTGTGCGCGTGTGTTGTTTAACAAATTGTGCTCCGGTGAATTAGTTAGCCACCAGACTGCGGTGGGGAAGGGAAGGCTTTGCACGAGGGATGTGATTGTTCACCATTCTTCCGGCAAAGCTCCTTTTAAACAGTCGGCAGGGATTGGAAATTGCAAACGGAATAAGCATTGTTTGTCCCTTTTGCAAAGCAGGCTTGATCTACCGCCATCCATATCAGACATGCACATTTTCATTCAAACTTCTTTCAAAGGAGGAAACACCACCCTTTTGCTATTGTGGGACAAGCCTTTATGTCCAAGGAAGTGTTGCTTTTCTTTAAAAAAAAAAAAAAGAACTTGCAGCTGAGGATCAGTGCAGGATAATGCAAAGAGCTAGGATCAGTGCTTTTTTTCTTTAAAAAAATGTTTAGGAGTAATACTGTCCCTCAATGAGGCCAAACTTAGATCCACAAAATGTTTAGGGGTGTGCGTACCCCTGTGTCCCCCCAGGAAAAAAGCACTGGCTAGGATCATGTGTACACAAGCTGCAATCATCATAGTATTTCTCCCCCAAATATTTTATTGTTGTCACTTATTTATACAAGAAGCAAATTCTTGTATAAGCCATCCTCACCACAGAAGCACCAAACGTCTCTTTAATTACGTTCAGCTTTTAAGTCATTGCAGTTTTTAAACAAAAGCATCATTTCACAAGTTGTCATGTGTTCTCAGAGGCCTTTAGCCATGTTCTCTTGATGTTGCATGTGCAATGAGAATATGCCAGGTTGACTGAAAACTAGTGATTTGCTTGTCTGTTCGGCTCTCTCGGATGCGGGTTGTCAGCGATCGTCAAAGTCTGACTGAGCAGGGATGGAACAAGAATGTTTCGAGGTGAAAATTTGTACAGTGTATGAATGAAAAATCCGCCCAGGAGAGCAGGCACAGCTAGGTGCAGTCAAGGCTGCCTGTGAAATCATTTGACTTTGCATCCATGAGATTAGCTTGTATAGATCACTTGAATGATCCTTTTTAATTTAATTCACTGAAGCTGCAGTGAGACTGCCAATCTCCTCCAAGATGGCTGTGACGGCTTAGTCCAAAATATTCGGGAAGCCAAGGTTATCTCGTATTTTCACTGCCCTTTTGGGGAGGGGAAGTAAATCAATAAATTCCTTTTTTTTTTCCCCTTAAGAGAGCCAGAATCGGCCCAGGAGCAAAGGCTGCAGAGGAGAAAGCAACCAATGCCATCTCCAAATTTGACAACAACGGCAGCCGCGATCGGATGAAACTGTCAGACTTCAATTTCCTTATGGTGCTGGGCAAAGGCAGCTTTGGAAAGGTGCGTGGCTGGATGTTCCCAGGACCTCTGCCTGGTCGGATGTCTCCTGGCTTCAAGAAAGCTGGTTTAAAAGGTTCAAAAGCCCTTTTCTGCTTAGGAAGGCTTTTGGTGCTTGGGGAGAGGAGTGAGGCAATTAAATATTCTTTCTGCTGTACTGTAATCATTGTTGAGTGACTGTTTTAACTGATGGTGCTTTGGGTTTTAATGGTGATTTGATGCTTGATTATGAATTTTCATACGAGTGGCTTTGAGAGCCCGGTGGAGCCTAACAAGGAGAATATAAATTTTAGAGCAAATGAATGAATATGTAGATGCATGGATCAATGACCTGACTCAGTGTAACGTGGCTTCCTGTGTTCGTATAAACTGCAGTCATGCCACAAAGCTTTAAGATCTGATGGATCCTTTCACGAATAAAGTCTGGTGAGAATCCTAGCGCTGCAGCTACACGGCATAGACATTTTTTGTGAAGGCACCAGCCACAAGTCCGCACCACACATTTAAAGCACATGACTTCCCTCAAAGAATCTTGGGAACTGTAGTTCACCCCCTCACAGAACTGCAGTTCCCAGCACCCTTAGCAAACAGCAGTTCCCAGGATTCTTTGGGGGAAGCCATGTGCAGGGATGGCCACCAACGTAATGGTTTTAAAAGAGGACTGGAGGTTAAGAGGGCTATCAGTGACTACTAGCCACAATGGCTATACTCTGCCTTTGCAGTCAGAGGTGGCAATGCTTTTTAATCCCAGTTGCTGGGAACTGCAGCATGGGAGAGGGTTCTTGTGCTCAACTCCTCCTTGTGGGTTTCCCGCATTAAACACACGAGACATAAACAGCTGTACTTTTGAATAAATAAGGTATAATATTCATTGTGTCAAATTGTAGATTTCAACAGAAGTCTCATAAAGTTCAATGAAAAAAGCAGAAGACCCAGTGGATCAGTTCATTCTCTAGTCAGTTCATGCATAAGGTCCATACAGGTATAAGTATCTATTCCACCTGTCTGTTCATAGAGTCCAATAATCCACATGAAGGGTTGTTACAGTTCCACAGAATCCTTTCACAGAGTCTAAGACAAGGATTTCCGTAATATTAGCCTTGTTTCGCCATCCTAGGCTTCATCAGTAGAACTGGCTCCTATGTAATATTGCAGGATAGTGGATCTTATAGCAAGGGTCATCTAGCCCAGCTCCCTGCAATGCAGGAATCCTTTTGCCCCACGCGAGACTCGAACCCATAACCCTAAGATTAGGAGTCCACCAACTGAGCTATCTTGGTGTACGCAACCCCCAGTTCAAAGGTCAGGATAGGAATGTGAAGGGAAAGTCACGATCCTGGTTTGAAAGTGTCCTGGGGGCTAGGCAGAGAGGAGGAGAAGGAGGAGAACAAGGAAGCAAGCTTGTATGAACTGCCCTTCTATCCTGAGGCCAGGCAGCACAGATCAGAGGACCACGGCCATTTTGCAGGTGGCGGTGGAGGAGCTTCCAAGATGATGTAAATCAGGGGTCAGCAAACTTTTTCAGCAGGGGGCCGGTCCACTGTCCCTCAGACCTTGTGGGGGGTCGGACTATATTTTGAAGGGGGAAAAAATGAACAAATTCCTATGCCCCACAAATAACCCAGAGATGCATTTTAAATAAAAGCACACATTCTGCTCATGTAAAAACACCAGGCAGGCCCCACAAATAACCCAGAGATGCATTTTAAATAAAAGGACACATTCTGCTCATGTAAAAACACACTGATTCCTGGACCGTCCGTGGGCTGGATTTAGAAGGTGATTGGGCCGGATCTGGCCCCCGGGCCTTAGTTTGCCTACCCATGATGTAAAGTGTCACTGAGAATTCGCTGCGCCTTGCAAGCTCTTTGGCAGCTATTTGACAGAAGCCTGTCAGGTTCCCATTCTTAACTCTCCTCCATTCACTGATTCCCCCACCCACCCCTGTTTCCCGCTGCTGGTAGAGCATATTTCAGAGAACAGCCTGACTTGGGAGCCAAGCGGTTAACACTCTGGCACCAGAGGCTGCATCTGCAAGATTAGCATTCCCCTCACTTAGCCGGAGAGAGTCAGGCAAAGCTAGATAGGAGTCTCGGTGGAGATGGCGCAAACCTGGCCACTGATTTTATTGCACTGGAAAGCCTCGCAGGCCCAGAGAGGGGATGGAGAGGATCAATCAAATTAGAGGTTCCCGTCTTGTGCAAGGAAGGAGAAACAACAGCTGCTTTGAGAGTGTCTTCTGGGGCGACAGTGATGATGAGGACAGTGGGTCCAGGAAGACTCTTCTCTTTCCATTGCCCCTTCAGGGGGGCAGCGCTGTTTCTCTCTGCAACAGGACTAAGGGCTGAGAGAGGCTGCAGCATCAGCTTACAACCGTTTTCAAGGCAGCTCCGCCAATTGCACTCTTGCAATGGCCTCTTTCCCCCTATCTTCTGGTAAATTTCAGTTCATTGCACTTCTGTGGGAATTTGCAATTTTTTAAAAAAAGGACCTCAGGGGAAAAATGATCATTTTAAACCACTTTCCCCCCTAATGTACACTTTTTTGGGGGGGTGCAGTTTTGGGATATGCCAGACCAGGGTGCAGTACTAGTCGGCCCCCTTTGGGCTCTTCTGAGGCTCCTGCATTCTTACTTTTGTACCCCAAGTTGAATGCAGCTGCCTGGCAGGGCTTTCTGTCCAGACATAGAATCATAGACTTGGGAGGGACCACGAGGGTCATCTAGTCCAACCCCCTGCAATGCAGGAATCTTTTGCTCAATTTGGGGCTTGAACCCACAACCCTGAGATTAAGAGTCTCCTGCTCCACCGACTGAGCTTTGTCCAAAGCCTCCTCCTTCTTCCCTTGTGCAAGTTACTTCTCGTGAGTAAACTGTGCTGTATGCCAGTATCTCTCTTTGGGTGCCAAAGCATGGGGTCTTGTTTCCCCCCTATCTTTTGCAGTTGTGTGAAATGGTTTGGCTTTCCGCCTGCATGGCGCCGCACATTTGCAAGCTGTGCAAAGGCTACTGCATGAAACATGGGCTGCTGTAGCAAGCCCTCGGGAGCCTCTCCCCCCCCCACCCCACCCCCATTTAATTCTGCACTCCAGGAAATGGCTGCCTCTTCCTCTCTTGCAAAGGTTGCAAGGAGCGAACATCAGCCCTGGGCACTGTCTCCCCATCTGTTGGGAGATGTTCACCCTTCAGGAGCCAAATTCGATTGCCTGAGCAGCGTTGGGGAACCATTAGAGAATTATTTACAGTGACTGGAGCCTGCTCTCCGGGGACTGCTTTCATCTTGAAATATAATCGATTTTAATTTTTGTGTTTTACACTCCGGGGAATGTTCTCCCAACACATCCAATTTCTTTTTTGAATGTATCTCATTGCCAGACAGTCCAAAGACCAAACTGGACGTGATGACTTTGGAACCTGCATGGCTCTTGGTACCAGCTTTAGGGTGGGACATCGAAAAGTGCTGATTTAGATTAGGGCTGCAAGGAGGGGGTTATATAATTCCCCCCTCCCCCCAGGTTATTTCCCCCATTAAAATCACCTCCCCACACACCGAAGCTGCCATCCAGTCCACAGGGCAAAAGACTTATAAGGTGATACATGAAGTTTTTGTTCTGTGGGTTGTTGTGTTGGTTTGGAGTGGACCTCTGGCAGTGTATGTGCGTGTTTTAGGGCGAGGGGGGGGCAGAATGCTGAATTTCTGAATGATAACCAATGGCAGCGTTTTGCCCTCTTTTTTGTATGTGCTGTAATGCTTGTTTTTGGTCACTAGGTGCCACTATAGAGCTGTGAACCACTGTCTGCAATTCCCAAGCTGTACTTTGAACAAATTATTTAGGGGCCCACAGACAGCTCCAGAGCTTTCGGGGGCCCTTGGTAGGTTGCTGTACTGGGATTTCTCCTATATGGATGGGTAGTTCCCTCAGCTGCACAGCCATCTTTGTTTTCCCATAATACAATGCACTAAAAGATTGGCTCGTCTTTTCAATCTTAAAAATCTTTTAAATGATTTTTGTAGATCATGTAATCATAGAATTGCAAAGTTGGAAGGGACCCTGAGGGTCATCTAGTCCAACCCCATGTAATGAATGAATCCTGCCCACAGCTGTCCCTGGGTGGGCTCGAACCACCAACCTTCTGCTTAACAGCCTGGTGTACTGTCCCATTGTACCACTTCAAAGATCACTGAATATTGTCTTCTGTAGTTTTCAGAAATTTGCCTGGACTTTGGCATATTGATTTCATCTGACACAGTACAGTGGTACCTCGGGTTACATACGCTTCAGGTTACATACACTTCAGGTTACAGACTCCGCTAACCCAGAAATAGTGCTTCAGGTTAAGAACTTTGCTTCAGGATGAGAACAGAAACCGTGCTCCGACAGCGCGGCAGCAGCAGGAGGCCCCATTAGCTAAAGTGGTGCTTCAGGTTAAGAACAGTTTCAGGTTAAGAACAGACATCCAGAACAAATTAAGTACAGTATTTAACCCAAGGTACCACTGTATTAGATTTTTGTAGCTTTAAAGCAAAGATGCAGAACCTCTATGACCCTCCATATCTTGTCAGACTCCAACTCCCATCATGCCTCATTATTGACCCTGGTGGCTGCAGGGGCTGGCAGGAGTTCACAGAATCACAGAACCATAGAGTTGGAAGGGACCCTGAGGGTCATCTAGCCCAACCCATGCAGTGCAGCAATCTTTTGCCCAACCTGGAGCTTGAACCCATGACTGTGATTAAGAGAATCATGCTTTATCAACTGAGCTGGAGTCCAACAATGAATCGTGTGATGGATACTTCAACTGTGATCCCTGCCTTGCAGAGGGTTGGGCTAGATGACCCTTGGGATCCCTTCCAACCCTACAGTTCTATGCTTCTGTGAACCCCTGCAGGGCCACAAGTCCCCCAGTCCCCACTGTATGGGATACTCCTAACCAGGCCTCCTCCGAAGTATTAAACTCAAGAGGGCTGACTCCCAGGCAAGTGGGGTTATTTTGCAGCTTTAGAGTTTTATTTTTCTTTCAGCATTTGTCTTTAACTTTTATTAACTTGTGGTGTTGAATATGGGAGTACTTGTGTTACCAAATGAATATGCAATTTCCGTGACTGCGTATGAATTGCCTTTAAATAAATATGACTGCAAAGTAAGTAGAATGCAAGAAGGGGGTACCAGGCCTAGTAGCCAGTCAGACCACACGAAGCATGAGAGTTGCCCAGGTCAAAGGCAAGACCAGGAATCTGCTCTAGAGCTACCGGTCCAGAGAAGCAGATGAGCAGGCTCAGAGGTCATAGGGGCGGGCTGGATGTGATGTTGCAGATCGGAAGGATCCTGGGGCAGAGTAGATCAAAGTCAGGCGAGGTGGTCCGGAAATCCCCCCTACCAAGGTGGCGATCGACTGTGTGGCAAAACAATCCATTTCCAGGGAATATGACGTCCATTTTGAACACCACAGGCCAGTGAGCAGGTTGGGGGGTGGGGGGAGGTGGCCGTGTTGATTTCCAAAGCAATACCACAACAAATTGAAGCAATGTATCTTAATAACTGGCAGGGTGTTGTTGGCATTTTTCGGGAGCCTTCCTTCGGCTTGATTTGATTAACGACGGAAAATTATGTTGGCAGGAAGCTCTGCGGCTCGGGTTTATTGTAATAAATAAATCTGCAGCTTGCCACAACTGGTTTAAAATATTAGGGGGACAAGTTATTCCACACAGGGGAAGAGGCGTGGGCTGGCTTGCGGGGCAGCCAAATGGGCAGGTGAGGGGTTGCCAAATGGGCATGGGTGAACTTCTTCAATCTCACTCACAGAAGGACGGGCTGGAGCAGTAGAGCACCTGCTTTGCATGCAGAAGTTCTTGGGTTCAATCCCCAGTGGCATCTCCAGGGAGATGTGGGAGGGAACCTGCCCGAAACCACGGAGAGCCACTGCCAGTCAGTGTAGACGGACCAATGGTGTGGATGAACAAAGGCTCTGACTCAGTATAAAGCAGCTTCCTGCCAACCTAGCAGTTCAAAAGCACGTCAAAGTACAAGTAGATAAATAGGTACCACTCCAGCGGGAAGGTAAACGGTGTTTCCGTGCGCTGCTCTGGTTCGCCAGAAGCGGCTTAGTCATGCTGGCCACATGACCCGGAAGCTGTATGCCGGCTCCCTCGGCCAATAAAGCGAGATGAGCGCTGCAACCCCAGAGCTGGTCACGACTGGACCTAATGGTCAGGGGTCCCTTTACCTTTACCTTTTTCTGTTCCTGTGTCTTTTGGAAAGGACTATAGCTGAGAGCTGCTTTATTGGATTTTGAGTTGATTTTATATTTGTATTCTGCTTTTGCAACAACAAATGTTGTTGCAGCTCACAATATTCACCATAGCATTAAAAAAACAGCAAGCAATACAATCACTATAACATCAAGCATAGCAGCGTATAAGTAAAGCAAACAACGAAGGAATGAATGCAATTCAATAATGTCATAGTAATTCAAAACATCACACAGAGCTGCTGAATGCCAGCCCTGTGCCAGATGGCATCCGAACCATGAGGACTAGCGTCTTGCAATACTTTTAGTGGGAAGCAGTAGCTCTGTGGTAAAGCACCTGCATTTAATCTTGATTCAAGATTCATCGTTTTATTTGTACGCTGCTTTTCCACACACAAAGTCACGTTCAAAGGGACTTACAACCAAGACGACAGGAATGCATTCCGAATCAAACGCTGCAAAACAATTTTGTAATAACACAATAAAACAGCAACACAATAGCAAACATAACAACAGGCAAAACAACAACGTTTCAGGACTCTAGAAAGAACAAGATTACATTAATAAACCCGACCGCAAAAATGACAAGGCTGCTTGACAGTTCCACCTTGGTCCTAGGAACACCCCTCTCATGATGTTGCTCACAGTCCTTCTCCTGCAAGGCTTCCAAGGACCTCCTCACCCCTCCCGTGATGTTGTTACTTTGGCATGCAGAGTAGCAGCCAAAGCACCAGCCTAGGAGGTCTGCTCATTCTCCATCTCCCTTGTGACCACCTTTGTCTTCCTCCAGGTGATGCTCTCTGAAAGGAAAGGGACCGATGAGCTCTACGCTGTGAAGATCCTCAAGAAGGATGTGGTCATCCAAGACGACGATGTGGAATGCACCATGGTGGAGAAGCGGGTGCTCGCTCTGGCTGGGAAGCCCCCGTTCCTAACACAGCTTCATTCTTGCTTCCAAACCATGGTAAGGATCCCTACACGCTCACACACTTCTGCCCTAGATCCTGCACAGTTTCCAAGCCAGCAGTTCTCACACTCCAGCCCCCCCCCCACTCCCCACATGGACTACTTGAAAATTGCTGAGGGTCTTGGCAGACCACTTAATGGTTTTTCTGTCTGTTGAAGAAATTGCAGTGAGCTGTGCTGGATGCTAGGTGATTTGTAATTGAATCAAGATTAAATGCCTCCGTTCTAGCCTCCCATTAACTGTGCTGCTAATCCCCTCCACTCCTTTCAAGGACCTCCTCCCTTACTCCTGCCATATCGCCAACAAACTCCCCTCCACCCCATCCATCTAACTCACCTTCTGGGCGGAACACCAGGTTCTAAGAACCACAGAGTAGCCACTGCAATCACTCATCTTCCCACAAGCACCATGTGGTCCATGGACCACAGTTTGGGAGCCCCTGGTCTCAGCTGAACAGAGAGCATCCTTGCCTTGATCCCAGGCAATGCCGCCAAGCGATACTGGACAACATGGGGAAGCTTAGGAGAGATGGGAGGAACTGTGTCTTGCTGGCAGGAAGAGGAGCTGGAGATGATATGTTGGGGTGCTCAGTAGATGGTGGGGGCTAAGGGAGCCCAGGGCAGAGTGGGTGGAAGGCAAGGACAGAGGCTGTGGCCATAAGGAGGACTAAAGAAGGGAAAGAGATGAAGAAGGGACCACATGGTTCTACTGCCTGGGGTTGGTGGGAGTTGAACTCCAAAAACAGCTGAAGGGCACCAGATTGTGGCCATCTGCCCTAAAGCAATGAATCATCCGGAACATCCGGTCCGAAATAAACGGAGGCATTGGGGGGACCGCTTGCAAAGGGAGCAGTCATTGCTTCCACAACTGTTTGGGGCTGGCTGCAGATAAGGAAGAGGAGAGGAGGCAGCGATAGGCACAGCGCAAGGCCCGTCCTTTCAGGCTTCCTACAATGAGCACGGAGGATTACACTGAAATGTCAGCCAGCCATTTGGCTTTGCGAAAGGCGTTTTGCTGCAGCGGCAGGCAAGTGGGGCTGGGCCCTTCTCTGCGCTCGCTAATGAAACTCCTGCATGCAGCGAAGCTTTTCCTTTTGCACGTCTCTCTTTCTGACATCTGAAGTGTGTCGGCAGAGGATTAGTTCCCGGAGACCTGCCTGTAGCTTAGCGGTAATCATATTGGTAACGTAATCAAAATTTGTAGCAGAGGGTATTATCAGGTGCTGAGTACAAAGCGCTTTGATTTGGAGGAGAGCAGTCTCAGCCAGAGCTGCTCTTCCCATTTGCTGGCAAGGATGAAAATCTCAAATCTTCATCTCAAAGGGAGAGAGAATTAACTTTTTTGCCCAGGTGTTTTGGGGCCTCTGGATTTGCCTTCCACCTGCTCCCGAGTGACCCTCCTGATCCTGGATAAAATGAGAGTGGATTAAATGTGCGCACCTTCTTTTTCCCCCCAAAAGGAGATCAGAGCCTCCACAGTCAAAACAAAGACTGCAGGGAGCTGGCTTCCCCTGAGACCTTGATTCATCTAGCTCAGTATTGTCCACACTGACTGGCAGCAACAGCCCTCCAGTGTGGAGATGGAGGAGGAATCGCCTCAAATCCCCACTCAGCTCTGAAGCTCTCTGAGTGACCGGTCACTATCTCTCAACATAGCCTCCCTTACAGGGCTGTTGTGAATGATAAAATGGGGGGCAGGGGGCATGGGTGCTGACTTATTTGTTTGTTTATTTCATAAAAATTCATACACTGCTTGATTGTTAAAAAACAAACCCTCGACGCAATTTACAAAAAGGTGAAGCAATAAATTTGCGGGGGAAGGTGAATACTTTAAAACATACAAAAAGCTTGAGCTGCTAAAAGGAAAGTCAGATCTGTGTTGCTGTGTATGTGCAACTAAACATATAGAGGCACCTGTGTGTTTAGCCCCATGGGACGTACAGCAGTTCCAGAATGGGC